ACGCCATATAAATTTAAAAATATATCTACATAATATCGGTAGTTCAGTTTGGTCATGACTTTATTTTTATTTTTTAAAATAATATCTTAATTAAATTACCATATCAATAAAACTAGTTATTTTGATGTTGGTTTAGTTTGAGACAAGTCATTAAAATATAATTGCACTTAGAGTGCACGTTATTGTTAGACAGATTGCACGTTATTGATTGTTAAATTGCACTATATCTATTAAACCAACATAAATATATAAAAAAGATAATATTTTGTTATATATATATATATATATATATATATATATATATTAGGTAATTACACCAAAAACAAAACAATCATACAAAAGATATAAAAAATAAATTAAAATACTAAATATATTTTAAAAAATATAAATTATAAATTATTTTAGTTTTAGTTGGATTGTGACAAATTATTAAATATAAATGCACTTCGGGTGCACATTTGTGTTGCATTGATTGCACATTAGTGACTGACATATTGCACTTAATCGCATTCGAATTTATTTTTTAAAAATAACCGAACCGACGTAACTAAACTATTCAGTTAGATTATATAAATATAAAATATGATAATTATTCCTACATTTCTATTGCCAAAATAATTATTCCGACAAATTGCGCAAAATATAAATATTAATAATTAAATGTGATATTTTTATAATAGTAATTGATCATGCTATGTTAAATTAATAAAAATTAATAAATATAAAATAATTATCATGTCAAATTGCCCAAAATTTGATATCTCATTGAACATAATAAAAAATAAAAAATTTGCAATTGGTCCTTTGAACATAATAAAATAATAGTATTTTTAATAAACTACATATCTATTTCATTAAGGTACAAATATATTAAACATTCTTAAAAATTGCCTAGAAGTCCCTACATCTAATCTAATTTACAAAAATAAATCAAGCCACATGTCTGCAGACATACCATTTCCCACCTCCTCTCAGATTGAACTGTCAGCCCGCCACAGACCACCATGTCGCTGCCACATTCACCACTAAACGCACCATTGAAGTTCACTCAAACATACATGAATGACACAGAAAAAAAAATGGTAGATCTGGGATCATCAGCGGGCTGGATCTGCACAGTTCGGCGGTCTGGCGGTGGTGCACTGGTGCTCGAACCGTCGCCTTCACGCTCGTGGACATTTTGTGCTTTTACTGTAAGTTCTCTGGGAGAACATGGAAGGTGGAGGCGGCCTGGTGTGAGATCTCAACTCCAGGAGAAGGCGGCTGCCCGACGGCAGCGACGCCGGAGATGGAGGATGCATTGGTGTTGAGAAGTCGGATAAACTGGCCATGGCTATGTCGAGCAAGGTGCCTCTGTTGTGATTGTCCCGGCGGGACTGTGTTTCGGAGGCGGTGATCGAGAATGACGGCGATGACCGCCGTGTCGGAGGCTAAGAGGGTGGTCTTGGTGGTTCGGTTTGGTGGTGATGGTGGTTGTCGGCGGGCTCAGCTTGGTTGTGTGTGTGTCGCGATTGTGTATGTGTGTCTATGTTTGTAAAATGGTTGTGTTGTGTGTGAGAGATGAGAGAAGGATGAGTTTGTGTTTTCTGTGAGAGAGGGGATGTGGTAGGTGACGGATTTGTTGGGGATGATGGATGTGGGTCCCATTTAAAATATGTGTATTGACCAACATACCCTTATTTATTAGTCAAATGACATATTTGACCACACTATGACCAAATAATTACCAGCTTGCCATTAATGATTGACCCTAGTTTGACTTCATCCTAACCATTAATATGATTGATCTCATGGTCCAGATTTATTCTTATTTCTTTCACCATCTATCATTCTCATATGATCCCTTACCTATATATATATATTTGTCCCATTTTTTGTTGTGTTTTTCTTGTTATTTTTCATTTTTTTTTTTCCTATATTAGGTCTTTTAGTTGGTTTTTAGTTCGTTTTGTAGTTTGTTGCGTGTATTCATCTATTTGGAGTCATTTCAGTGTCTTTCGTTTGGTATTCTGTTTTCTCTATTTTTCTTGTCATTTTTGGTGTGCAGGTCGGGAGTCACTGGAGGATAGAATATCAGGAAAATATTAGTCGGCAAGCGTAATTAAATAGAGAAGTTCGTTGGCAATACACAGAAAAAAGCAGAATCAAATTCCGAGTCCAAACGAACCCAAACGAGCCTGAGTCACGAAGTAATGCAAGAAGCCCACCAGCTTGCCCAGGCCCCCCGCGCGCGCCGCACCATGCCGCGCCGGGCACCACGAGGCTGACAGAGAGCCCATGATTTCTATCCCTGCGCCGTGAGCCAGTGCGCGTCGGGCACCACGAGGCTGACAGAGAGCCCATGATTTCTATCCCTGCGCCGTGAGCCAGTGCCGCTCCGCGATAAGTCCTTTTCCTGCGCAGTGAGCTAGTGCCGCGCTGCGACAAATCCTCCTTCCGCGTCGCGAGCCATTGCATGACGCCCATCACGCGCAGCTAAAACAGCATCAACGTCCCTCGCGCCGCGCTGCTCCCTCACGCCCGCGACACCAGCAGTCCTCGCGCCGTGCGGCGCCCATGCTCTCCTTGTCGTGCCATAGCTTCCAAGCCGTGACTCATGTCCAACTATAAATACGCGTACGAGATTTCCATAGAATAAATTCGTTCTTGTGCGAGTTAATTTGATTAGGAATTGATGAATTCTTGTTTGATTGATTTATATAATCGAAGGGTGACACTTTGATCTTGCAATTGGAAACAATTGAATATTGATTAGTCGAGTTAGGGTCTTGTTGATTCTAAATGGTTATTTGATTAATTCTTTTCTAATTTAATTAGCGACTTTTAGAACCGAAAGGGGAGAAGTCGTAGATCTAGGCTCGCATGAGGTAGATGATTTTGTAATTGAATAGTCTATAGGTTTTGGATTGAAATACGTGCTTGTCGATGACCCGGCCCTTGTTACGAAAAGTTTTTGGGATTGGATAATTGACTTGTATTGTATGCTCGAGTTTGTTCGTCTATGTTCAATCCCTTGTTACGAAGAGTTATGGGAGCAAAAAGCTAGATGTCTAAAGAGTGTCAATCTCGAACCGAACGATTAATTACCCGACTTTGCTAAGAACTGTAATAAATTATCCTTGACTCGCTAGCTTCTTTTTCATCGTTTCATTTATATTTTGGGTAGATTCATGCTTTATATTATTTCCTAGTTTTCATTTAAACCCCCTATCTAGGGGTGAGCATCGGTGCGGTTCAGTCAAAAACCGCACCGCACCGAAAATTGAATTTTAAGTTCTTTTCACCGAACCGCACCGCTATAGAAGGAAAAACTGAACCGCACCGAACTGAAAATTTCGGTTCGGTGCGGTTCGGTTTTTTGGTTAACCGAAATTAAAAAATATAACCACCAATTAATATTATGTGAGTAAAATTATAATAATTAAGGTGATATTTTATTAAAAAAATAAAAAAGTGACATTTTATGACATTCGGTGCGGTTCGGTTAAAACCGCACCCTTCGGACAAAAAACCGAACCGCACTAAAATACTTGCGGTTTTTCAAAATCCAAACCGCACCGATAACCGAACTTACCAAAAACCGCACCGAACCGCACCGAATAGCTCGGTTCGGTGTGGTTTTTCGGTTTCGGCTCGGTTTTGCTCACCCCTACCCTTATCTGATTAGACTTTTTATGATTTTTTTTGTGTGATCGATACCAAAGCTAAATTCCGAACCGCCTTCCTCGAGAGATCCACCCAGGGAACGAATCCTTTGATTCGGTACTCGATAAAAACAACAGTACATAACAATATAGATTTTGGTAACCGATATGTTAGATCACAAATAAATTCCATGCATTTGCAAAGATGCAAAAAAAAAAAATTAATAAATTATGCCCTCGTAATTAAATTCAATTCACTGTGTAAATATAAATTTTTTTTTCCCTAATTTTCTTTTTTTCTAATCACTTATACATCAAAATAAGCTGAGCGCCATTTGCTGGTAATAATCTAGGTGAGCCCATAATCAACCAGATTTTAAGTTTTGTGAGCCGAACCCAATAGGGTTTTGAAGCCCACCAACAGACAGGGTCTTGTCTTGTCTTGTTTTGCGTATAGTGGACTCTACTTGTATTGTTGTTGTGTTCGAGGCTTCCGCCTGGTGAGGTTTGAGCGGCACATTCCTCAATTTTAATCAAAATTACATCTCTTTTCTTGCAATTTCCTCTGTTTACAAAAAAATCTCAACTCTTCAATGGAAAATTAGGCGCCTGAAGCTCACCTACCTCTGAAGCAGTTTTTTCAGGTGCCAACTTCTTGTTAATAAAGTTTTATCTCGTATTTAAGAAGCTCATGTATTGGTGTTTCATTCCTTTTGGCCCTTTTACTGCCTTTTCCTTTTGCGTTTAATTGCTAGTTAACGTGCTAACAGGTATAGCTGTGTGTAGTTGAGCATGATTTGAGTAATCGACGATTTTTGGGCGTTGTTTCAGGTCTCCGAGTTTGATTGCTTTGCTGAAGGGTAGATGGATGAGTTTTTCTTGTACTGGATTTCCGATTTCAATCTGTAAATTGGGTTACCATATTTTTTTTCTGTTGATAAAATGCCATCTGGGTTGTTACTAAATCTAAATATTGTATCTGGTCTCTGCTTTCGAAAGGCTCTGAGAGTTGAGCAATCTCAAACCCTCCATTTGATACAATCCCTTTCATCCAGAAAGAGTTTTAGTGGTTTTTTACCTGGCCCGAGCAGTCGATCGTTAAGACATTCGAGCAAATTAAGAAATAGAAGTATCATGGCTACTCCTGGTTCGGTAGTTGCATCCGGTGGTGGTAATTTAACGGGATTTGTGAACCCTAGTGGTGTTTGGTTTGGTGATAGGGGTTTGAAGGTGTGTGGGAAAGCTAAAGTGAGCTTGAGAAGTGTAGAAAGTGAAAAACGAAATGGTTCTGTTGGATGTCTTGTGTTTGATTTTGAAGCCAGATGTTCCATCTCTGGTTCACTGTTTTCTAAAAGGATGGGTAGTGGTAGAAATTTCTCATCTTCATGTCACTCTAATGGGATTATGCCCGAAGGTTCAAGTGATGGATCTTTAATTACAGAGCACCTGTCGAGTCTTGCACTTTCGGTTGAGGAGTAAGTCAGTTTTCTAGTTCCTGGTTTCAAAATTATCTAATGCATTTTAGTTTTTGGACTTCAAGTATGTTCATTGTAATTTTGTTTCTTCTGTGTCATTGGCATGACCATGTGCATTAGGAATTGTGCTTTTGCTCCTTTTATTATTATTATTATTATTATTTTTTTATGTAGAAAACTCTACTTCAGCACTCTATTTATTCCTAGACCTTTAATTTCCATAGTTGGCTGTAATTTGTAAGATTGTATAGATGTCTGATATTGACCTATTTGTATGTTTCCAAAATGGAGTAATATAATCTTGTTAAGGTGATTTATTTTTTTATTAATCTGATCATCATTTGAAGCCGAAGCCGAGGCTGTGACATAAACATGAAGCGTACCTTTTTGCAACACTTTAGTGGTTATAGTAATTAAAGTTCACCCAAAAGTTGCCCTATGTAGCATATGGTATTATTTTTTACTACAAAACTTATTTAATGTATTGTCTGTAGTTACTATCTAATTCTACTTTGCATGCTTATGAAGCTCCATTTTTTTTTTTTAATATAATATTAACTTTTTTTCTTCAAGGAGGAGTCGGGATCATAGCTCCGTGAAGCTTCTGTCTGGATCTTGTTACATGCCCCATCCAGATAAAGAAAAAACAGGTGGAGAGGATGCTCATTTTATATGCGCTGATGAGCAAGTAGTTGGTGTTGCTGATGGGGTCGGTGGTTGGGCAGATGTAGGTGTTAACTCGGGGGATTATGCCCGCCAGCTCATGTCTAATTCTGTAGAAGCCATTAGAAAATCGCAAGGTGGAGATGTTGACCCCCTGAATGTGTTGGAAAAGGCCCACGCGGCAACTAGTATGATGGGTTCCTCGACTGCTTGCATTGTTGCCCTGAAAAGCCAGGTTTGGTTTGGAGTTCTGTAATTATAACGAGATGGCTGACTAACTATGGTGATATTAAATGCAGTCCTTCTCTTTGAGTTAACTCTGTTTTTTGTTAATATAAGTATGGTTGTTATGAACCAATTTTGTATGCTGTGATTTATATATAATTATATGAAATGTGGAGAAACATGATAAGTTTGTTAAAAATCGTGACCTTTTTGCTGTTGTTATTTGGCATATTGTGATTTTTTATTATGACTCGAAAATATTATTTTGACTGATTTTTGTTTCCATGGAATGTTGTTAAGAATAGAAGGACTGATTTCTGAATAGAAACTGTTGATCTAGGCAATGGCTTCTTCGATTTTTGATCGATTTGTAAATTCAGCCTGTCTGAATGTTGTCTTTAGTATCTTTGATTTCTGTTCTTTAAGTAATTGCTGTTACCATAATGTCTTATATATTGAACAGAATCTTCATGCTGTCAATATTGGAGATAGTGGGTTTATTGTGATCAGGGATGGGCGCACAGTATTCGAGTCGCCTGTACAACAGCATGGCTTCAATTGCCCTTATCAACTTGAACGAGGACCGGCAGGTGATCTGCCAAGTTCTGGACAGGTTGGCTCCAATTACGAAAGACCAAAAACCCTTTTTTTCCCTTGATTTTTGTTTTCATGTTAAGGTACACACTCAAACAGGGACATTCTTTTAGTAATTACCCCTTTAACTAGTGCAAAATTGTAAAAATGGGTATGTCAAACTCTATATTGTCGGTACTTTCGGTCGAATGCTTAAAACTCATACATTATAGTTACTTTTTAGGTTTTCAAGGTTCCAGTTGTACCTGGAGATGTGGTCGTTGCAGGTAGTGATGGCTTGTTCGACAATTTGTATAATAAAGAGATAGCGACAATTGTGGCTGATGCTGTGAAAGAAGGTTTTGGTCCAGATGCCACAGCCCGAAAGATTGCTGAATTTTCACGTATACGGGCTCTGGACAGGAAATGTCGGAGTCCATTTTCTGTTGCAGCCGAACAAGCTGGATTTGCTTTCTATGGTGGTAAACTTGATGACTTAACTGTTGTCGTCTCATATGTTTCTTGTTAATCAAAACCCTGAAATATTTTTTTTCGCCTGGGTAGCTTTGCGATTTGAACTAACTATATGTCTCGTGAATATATTTCATTAGCAATTTTATGCGTGACCATCTCTATTTTATTTAATCATTTTTTACATTGTATTTGTCACAAGTTAGACGTTCCGCAAGATGTCACGACAATAAGAATTATTAATTTGGAGGTAGTTTTGCTGAATTTACAATATTTTGTGAGTTCATGTATTGTATGAGCGTGAGCCACAGCTTGAGCAGGCTTACACCTCCATAGAACTTGGTTTCTAAAGCACAATCGGTTGTGTATCTGTGAGACAAGTTCATAAAAATGTCATCCAAGTCTGTGCTCTCTCTGTAGCTTTGTTTGGTTATATGCAAAAAAGGCAATTGAACTAAATAATTCCTTTTAGTTTTTATACAGGTTTATTCAAATTTGTTCCGGATAGGGTTGTTAACGGATTGAACGTTCGTGAACAAAAACTAGTTAGTTTGTTAATCGAGCCGAGTTCGAACAAAATTAGGCTTGTTTGATAATCGAACGAACACGAGCTCGTTCGCGAACGTTCGATAATGTTCGTGACATATAATTTTATTTTATTTTCTATATTTTCATAATTTTTTTATAAAATACTAAAATATAAAAAATAAATCTTTTTTCGAGTTCGAATGAACAAATTTCGAGTTAATCAAACCTATATGAAAAGTCTGTCTTAAATTATTTAAACACGAACGAACTCGAACTTTGGCGAATAATTAAACGAACAAGCTCAAATACTTATTTTTGCTCGAAAATAAACAAACAACACGAAAATTGTTCGAATGCATACGAACACGATATCGGACAGCCCAAGCTCAGGTCGCTCAGTTCGATTACAAAGTTCCGAAAGGTTTGAAGCTTTTTCAAAATTAGCTTTTTTTATCCAATCTTTAAGCTTTAGTTGAAAACGGTGCTTCCATATGATATGCTTTGATTTTGTTTGAATTTTTTGGTTTGGTAAAGTTAATTCGAAAAAAAATAAAAATAAAAAAATAAACAGTGGTAAGGTTCATTGTTAGTAAGATTTTGAGTTTATATTAAAATAATATTTAAAATAAAATAATTAAAGTTGATTTGATATAAAAATATAAGAGATATAACATGATATGATAATTAGTTAAAATTGTGTGAGTTAATAAAACGTGAATTAAATTTGATGTAATGTGTAAGAATGATATTATTTAATATATTGATAATATTGAAGATAGTGGGTTGAATTAAAGTTGAGTTAGATTTGAGTTCAAAAATTGATCGTTTAACTTTAAAAATGATTTGATTTTATTTGGGTGTTCCTATTCACTGTCGTACTGCCCCCCCTTTAAAAAAGTATACAATTTTTTCAACTTATATTAAAAGTGGACCTAGTCTATAAAAAAATGTTTCACAATGCAATTAAAAGTGGACCTAGTCTAATGTTCGTTCCATTTTTGTTAGTGTTTTCGTGTTTATTTTATGTTTATTTTTCCCCACTCTAGGTATTTCTTTTTGGATTTTGGTCCATTTTGAGTCTCGTCTTTCATTTCCTTTGTTTCGTTCGTTTTTGGTCTTTTTGTTTCTTTTCTCCGGATTCTCTGTTCGTTTCTTGGTGGTGGTGTGCAGGATGAATCGCTCGAGGAATGACCAAGCGTGGACTACTACATAGATGGATGAGTTGGGGTCGAGTGGGAAAAGACGGAATCCAATTCCGGGTCCAGATGCGTGAATACGAGCCGAAAATCACAGCCGGGTCACCGAAATCCTTCACCGCGGCCCGCGACAATGTTCCCGCGACCGCGGTGAACAAATTCCCCAGCGCCCAGTTTTACTCGCCGCGGCCCGCGACAATTCCTTCACCGCGGCCCGCGACGAACAAAATGTCGCAAGTGAACAACATTACTGGCCAGAGTTTCCCACGGCCTCGGATTTGGTCGCGGCCGCGGAAGCTTCTTCGCCGCGGTCCGCGAGATGCTCCGCGGCCCGCGAAGGCCGCGATTTTCAGATTTTTAAAGTTATATTTTGGGATCGTTTTTCATTATGTTCTATGTTAGGTTTTGTTCTTCCTAGTACGAAAAAAGTTCCAGAACTCATATTTTTCACTTTCTTGTCTTGGGGATCAATCTTGAGGGTGGAAACTTAGAGATTTGACTCTTGGATTTGGTTTTTCTATTGTTCTCGACATTGGATCCGTTAATCGTAAGCTTTACTTTCGTTTTTCTTTCGATTGAGATGACTTTGATTATGGAATATGTTGATGTTGAATGCATGATGAGTAGCTAAATTCACTAGCTAGGGGTAGGGGATTATCGGTCCGGTTCGATTTCGTTTTAATGCTGAGTAATTGCTCATCTTTTCGAGTTGTGCTTAACCTAGGGTTTGGATGCTTGATCTCCATCTTAATCTAATTAATCAATTTAAAAACCGAAAGGGGATAAATTGTTCGATCTAGGCTCGTTAAGAATAGGCTTGTTTGGTAACGTATTGCCTAAGTGCTAATTGATTCGTGATTGATTTATTTATGTTTATTCTCTTGTTTCGTGAGATATTGAGAATGAGTCTCTGGATGAGTTATTTTATTGAGTCCTTTAGCCGAGTAATTCATTGTCTGCTAAATGCATTGAGAACCGGAAGCGAGATCCCCGATACCCTAGCGCTTTTATCATAATTGTTCTTCGTCCTTGCTTACTATTTTCTCTGCTTTGTTTAATTATTTGCAGTAGCTGATAACTGAAAACCCATCCAACTATTTGGTTTAGAATGTTTAGGAATTTGATTTCTTTTAATTGTGTTGAGTAAACGTGCTTAATAGTCCGGCTAACCTTCCTTGCGATACGACCCGGGGAACGAATCTTTTGATTCTACTCCGGTAAAAATACTTACAACATCTAACTTATGTGACACTAGAAAAAAAGAGACAAAGTCCACACTTGGGTCTATTTTGGACCCAAGTGCAAACTCAACTAGTCATTAATTGTTCACAATTTTCTTTTTTTTTAATAGGCAAAACACATTTTTTTATACACTTATTATTACTATATTTTTATTGGTTGTTTAGCATTCTAGACCTACTACTTTTTTGTTTTGCATTGGATAGATTTTGGATTTTTTTAGCTTGGGTTTGTCCATGTCATTATGGACTTAGAGCACCCACAATGTTTTGGGTCTCTTAGAAAAAAAATCACATGCCATGTAGGAAATAGACATAGTATATAAAAGAGTGTTTCACAATGCAATTAAAAGTGGACCTAGTCTAACTTATGTGACACTAGAAAAAAGAGACTAAGTCCACACTTGGGTCTATTTTGGACCCAAGTACAAATCCACCTAGTCATTTCTTTTTTCTTTTTAATAGGCAAAACACATTTTTTTTGTATGCATTTATTATTACTATATTTTTATTGGTTGTTTAGTAATCTAGACCTAGTACTTTTTTGTTTTGCATTGGATAGATTTTGGATTTTTTGGCTTGGATTTGTCCATGTCATTATGGACTTAAGTCCATTTATTTGTCACACATGCAAAAAGAGACCCAAAGCATTGTGGATGCTCTTAAGTCTATTTATTTGCCACATATGCAAAAAGAGACCCAAAGTATTGTGGATACTCTAAGTGGGTTTGCACTTGGGTCCAAAATAGACCCTAGTGTGGACTTGGTCTCTTTTTTCTAGTGCCACATAAGTTGGACTAGGTCCACTTTTAATTGCATTGTGAAACATTTTTTTATAGACTAGGTCTATTTCCCACATGACATGTGATTTTTTTCTAAGAGACTCAAAGCATTATGGATGCTCTTACCTAGATTGAAACAATAAACTAATAGAAAAAAAAATAAGGAAAAAGAAAATGAAATTTTCTTGGCCCTCCATCACCATTCACGTGGCACAAAAATAAGGAAAAAGAAAAAGTTTTGGACACATACCATTCACGTGGGTTGCTGACTTGCTTAAGAGCATCTTTAACAAAAAAAAAAATAAATTTCCATAAACTTCACTTTTGCACTTTCCAATATACCACATCATTCAACACCTCATCCTTACTCCTACACCCATAAACCTTCAATAATCATAAACCTCATTTTTCATGGGTCCCACATGTTTCCCACTGATTTTTAATCAATATTATACTCTTATATTTTTAATAATTAATACTTTAAAACTATAGCTCTACTTTTTTTATTTATTAAAAAGGTAAATATTTTCTATATTTATAAAAAAATACATCTAAAATATATATAATTACATATAATTATATTTTATTAATTATAATTATGTAGTGTTAAGTGCATACGAATGTAAAATTTTACTTATAAAAATTACGAAACATAGGACTTACATAATGTTGAAAAATAAATTTGGAGTACATTTTTTTTTTAGAAAAAATTAATCTTGAGAAGTAGGTTCATTCCAAATATGTTCAACCAAGTCGTGTCGAAGCTGATGATGAATTTGCCTGTCTTGCACCTCAGCTCTTATCTGCAAGTAGCGTCGAAAATTTAAAGACCCCCCTTCACGTTCCAACGCTGGTGGTTCCCATTCATCATTAGACCAGTTGGAGGACATCGTATAATTTCCCACCTTGACTGGAGGACCCCCAGAAGCATGCTCAACGTCTTATCTTGCAGCTTCTTGCCTCTGCTTGATTTTTTTCCTTTTTGGATCCTCTGGACATTGAAAGCTTTTGACAAATGTAGCCCACTCTGGATAGATACCGTCTGTTATGTAGTACCCTTTAGTATACTGAGTCTCCTTAACCACAAAATTAACCTTTGGAGCTACACCATGTAAAACATCATTGAATAATGGAGATTCGGTGCAGTACATTTATATCATTTCGTGAACCCGCGAGCCCAAAAAATGCGTGCCAGATCCATAAGTCTTGTGATGCAACTGCTTCAAGCATAATCGTGGGTACCCAATGATCCCCTCGAGTGTACGAGCCTTGCCATCCAACTGGACAATTTTTCCACTCCCAATGCATACAATCTAGACTTCCCAACATGCCACGAAAACCATGTTTCTTCTCGTGCAATGCCAGTATTCTTTGGATGTCATTGGCATTTGCGCAAATATTGGGGTGCATATATATTTGTCGCATAGCATGACAAAACTCGAGCAGACTTCGATTCGCCGTCTGTTCTGACATACGAAGGTATTCGTCACATTGATCGGAAGGAGCTCCATATGCTAGTTGACGTATAGCCACAATACACTTCTGAATTGGTGTACCTGGTCGTCGTGTTGCATCTGCTCTACACGTAAAATAATCAGAATGTCCTTCGACATCCTGAACGATCCGAACACATAATTGTTTGGACATACGGAATCTACGACGAAAGTAGCCTTCGTGGTATATGGAATCGGGAGCAAAATAATTTCTTATCAGTAGGGCATGACCAACTTCACGATTTCGAGGCATTTCTAGTCTTTCACGCTTAGTTGAACTTTCATCTTGTCCGTCTTTGCAATTGCATAGCAGTGGCCTCCATCAATGCAAATTCAACTTGCTCCAAAAAATCGTCAAGCATATCGTTCAAGAAAGCACGATATGAGACTCTATCATTATTACAGCCAGCCATTTTAAAAAGGTGAAAAATATTTAGATTTGTGAATTTTGGCAAAAAAAAAACAAAAAAATAAAAAAAATAAAATAAAATAAGAAGAAAGTATCAAGAAGAAATTGAAAGATGTTTTTGGATGTAGTTGTGGAGCTTAGGATACTATACTAGTTATAGTAAAACATGATTGTGTTAGGTTGAATGTGTGGTAATAGGTGATTGTGTTAGGTGGCTTGTGTGGTAGCTGAAGGCAGTAGGTGGTATGTGTGGTAGTAGGTGGCACTGTACCGCCTAGTAATATGTATGTTATTTTTGGTGAAGTAAAAATGACATTAGTTTAGTCTCTGAAACTAAATTGAATTTAATTTTCTGGTATAGCAACGAGTTAGATGTGTTTTTTTTTTAAAAAAAAAAAAAA